AAATAAAGCCGCCGACGCACTCAGTCGTCGCATGCACCTCCTCTCCACTATGAGCGCGGAAGTTATCGGTTTTGAGAAAGTCAAAGACCAATATGAATCGTGCCCTGATTTTGGTGAAGTTTATACTTTGCTAAATGATGGAGTGATCCGTGAAATTGATGGCTTTCTCCTGAAGGATGGATATCTCTTCCATTTTCGCAAGTTGTGTATTCCTGACACCTCCCTGAGAGAATTCTTAATTTGGGAATTACACGCTGGAGGCCTTGCAGGACATTTTGGAAATAACAAGACTGTCGAGGCAGTGGAAAGTCGCTTCTATTGGCCAAGCATGAAACGAGACGTTGTTAGACTGGTGAGTAGATGTCACATCTGCCAATTGGCAAAACAACGTAAACAGAACACTGGTTTGTACACTCCTCTCCCTGTGCCAAATTGTCCATGGCAAGATGTTAGTATGGATTTCGTGGTAGGACTCCCGAAAACGATTAGAAAACACGATTCTATCTTTGTTGTTGTGGACCGTTTCTCCAAAATGGCCCACTTCATACCATGTTTCAAAACTTCCGACGCTTCTCATGTGGCCAAGCTATACTTCAACGAAGTTGTTAAACTGCACGGGCTTCCGAAAACAATCGTGTCAGATAGGGATGTTAAATTTACAAGTTATTTCTGGAAAACCCTTTGGCACAAAATGGGAACTAAACTTCAATTCTCTACGGCCTTTCATCCCCAGACTGACGGTCAAACTGAGGTAGTCAATCGGAGCTTAGGTAACCTATTGAGATCGCTAGTTGGTGAGAATCTTAGGAGTTGGGATCAACATTTGCCTACTGCTGAATTTGCTTATAATAACTCTGTTAATAGGTCTACAGGTGTCAGTCCAGCTGAAGTCGTGTATGGTTACAAACCTAGACAGCCTATAGATCTTGTCCCCGTGTCTGCACATCATAGAGTATCTGAGTCAGCATCTGCATTTGCATCTCGCATTCATGACTTGCATAAAGACATCAGTAAGAAGATCAATGACAGCAATGCTAACTATAAAATGCGAGCAGATCTAAGAAGAAAGTTTAAAGAATTTAATGTTGGTGATTACGTGATGGTTCGGATACGTCCGGAACGGTTTCCTCCGGGAACTGTTAAAAAGTTGCATGCGCGAAGTGCAGGACCTTTTAAAATTCTCAAGAAAATTAATGATAATGCTTATGTTCTCGACCTTCCCGAAGGTTTCAATATTGGTTCGACTTTTAATATTGAGGATTTAGTAGAGTACAAAGGCCCATATTTTAACCCTGACAACCCACTGGTTGATGAGCCTACCCCTGAGCCTATTTCTGAGAGCTTCCCTTTACCTCCACTTCCCCAGATATCACCCACGTATACAGCACATGACATTGATACTATTATTGATGATAACATTGTTTCTACTAGCAATGGTGGTATCCGCAGGTATTTGGTACGTTGGAAAGGACGACCCGAGTCAGATGACACTTGGCTCGATAGGGATGACTTGCAGAGGCTGGATCCAGATCTTCTTGAGCAGTATGACAGTCGTTCTGATTTACACTCGACGGGGTCGAGTTCTCTCCCACCCGGGGAGAATGATGGGGACATCCGGACACATACACGGGATTTTCGTCGAGTTTATCAGCGAAGGAGACGCAAGGTTGCAGCACTATGGTTTTGATTTCAATTGTAATAAATTAGTTTGAAATTTGAATTTTTGAATTTCAAAATTTTGAATTTCGAATTTCATTTGGCAGCTAATTAGTTAAGTGGTTGTATTTTGGTTATGAGAGAGATTTGAGGGATTTAGAGGATTTTCCAAATCTGTACTTTTCTTATTTAACTCTCTTGTAATCAGATTGAAGAAGCATTGAAGATGAATAAAAAAATTCGTGTTAGCCTAATTATGGTGTGAAACCCTAGGTTAATACGTATTTTCTGTCTTTGTTTCTTTTCAAAGCTGACAACTGCAGTCTTCATCTTCTCCACGCAACACACAACAGAACTCCTCCTCTTCACAATTAAACCAATCAGCCCACCAACTTCGTCTTCTTCCCTCCCTTGTCCTATTCCCTCCGCCAACCGCAAACGCGCCTGCTCACGTCAACACCCAATACCCCAACTCTACCGTCCTACTTCAACATCACATAACCTTTTCTTCCAGACCCAATTAATCCAATTATTTACAACCCCATCATTCCATGTTCCTTCTCCAGAAGCAACCACCTTTCAGGCAATCTAACGTCACCCTCATCCACAAGCTCCGCCCCCCCTGTTCCCCTTATTCAGCCGCCAACTCTCCTCTGATCTCCCCACGTCAAACAGTCCGCCAAATCTTTCTTTCTCACTTCGCTGCAAGCCACCAAACCACCGGTCGTCGCCGGCCATCCCCTCCTCCACCACAGACCATCCCGATCTCTCCCCTGTTTCCCTTCCTTGTTTTTTTGCGCCAGCAACCAATAGCCAACGCCCAGAATCCCTTCCTACTCCAGTCACCGCCCTGATCTGTTTTCCCCATCCACAGATCCATTCAACCCCTCCTGCTCTCCTCCTAATTGAGCAGTCCCACAAACTCAGCTCCTCCTCCCTGCTATCCTTTCGACGGACAGCCCCAGCCGGCAGAGACAGATCTGTTCATATCGCCGTTTTCCGCCTTTACAGCATCGTCGTCGCTTAGTTTGCCACACACGTCCGCATCCAGTTCGCCGTCGTCGATCCGCCTCCAAAGGTCTCTCACGTCGAGTCTGTTCAGACCGACGCAGGTTTTGTTTTCTTTCGACCCTGTATTTTCGGAACTACTGTTGCGTACGTGTTATTCTCAATTTTATTATCAATTGATTGCGCTGTATTAGCTTGATTAAGTGAGCGAGCGAATCTGTTGCTAAGTACTTTTACTTATCCAAATATTACACTTTGAACTGTATTGAGAGAACGAATCATTACATTTATTTTCTGGATCATTTGCAAAAGATTTGAACTTAGTATATTGCAATTTTTGCTTAAAAGCCATCGAAAGCTACACTTTATTCTTGAGCTCCCTGCCTAGATCGATCGCTGATTTGGCGAAGCATTGCTGTTGTTAATCTTCATACCTGCATCACATTGTTTCGCATCAACATGCCTTGTCCATGTGTATCTGATGTATAATTTCTTTTTGAAGAAGTGTACCCCCATACATCAAATACATCTCATATGTGAAAACTAATATCGAGATTTAAGTTATGTAGAACTGATCAGAAGAGAATCAAAATTGATGGCTGAAATGAAGAACTGCTTGGGTAGCACAATATAATCCCCATCAAGTGGAAGGAAAATTTTTCAACAAAATGGCTATAAAGCTACAATGCTTGACGGTTCCAAATGTTTTAAGAAACATCAAATAATTGCCAGCAAATAAACTTATTGGCACTGATAGACACATAGTTGCATGCTATATTGGACGGGTACGGGTACGGGTGCGGACACTGGCACGAGTGTGGATACGAGACACAGCAAATTTGTAAAAGGTAGGATATGGGAACACATATTGAAACTAATAATTTATATGAGATCAATGTTATTTTTTCATTCACGTGTCATAAGAACTTAATCCTTATAACATTTCTATGTTTCCTTTATTGAGTAGATAATAAATTAAAAAAACACTTGTTGTCGAACTAGATACTCAAACAACCCTTTTAAATCATACCTATGAACTAGGTAAGGGTGAAATGAACCCGACCCGAGTCCAATGAGTTGCATAACTTACAGGTGAAGTGTAAGAGATATGTCCAAAAAAGTGTATCACATGTGTTATAAACTAGAACATGTATTACATAATTGATTATTGAGTACATGACTGAATAAATTGTATGTACATATTCAAGAAGTGTATCACATGTGTTATAAACTAAAACATGTATTACATAATTGATTATTGAGTACACGTCTGAATAAATGTAAGTACATATTCAAGAAGTGTCAGACACAGCCACAGATATGAGAAGTGTCAGACATGGATACAAGAGCCCAAATGAAGTGTCCGGATAACTTAGGTTGCATGGAACTCGGTCCATTCCAATTCATGGGAAGGGAACATTATTTCCCAAGGAATGACAGAGACTGGGGATTGCATCATATGACTTTGGTCAATCAATCAGAATATAATTTCCTGTAGCTAGATCAGTATGCATTTCTTGTAGATAGGCCAGTCCCAGTATGCAATAGAACTTGCTTAAAACTAAAAGCTCTTAAAATCCATCAAACTACAAAACATAGTCATTTTATACAATTTATACCACAATTATCAATGCAGAAGATACAGGCCCTTGAACATAATAATTAGCTAACAAATTTAACCTTCTTTCGAGTCATTTTTAATTCTAGAAGGACCTGACAAACTTTAAGCGGTGACTTGTTTAGGACGAATTAAAGAGAAATCCCTATTACCAAATTAAATGTAAAATATTTTACAGAGGAACACATCCTCTCCTAAGAGCCTTAGACCTGCGTCCATATTTTTAAGTAGAAGAGTTCGCGCGCACAATCAAACCAACAAAGAATATCCTTCCTTCATACAAGATTATGCATGCGATCTAGGTACCGTATAATCAATAAAGCATGGCTAGATCACTAAATAATTAGTCATTGCATACATCAAGGAAATTGATTTAAACATTAAAAGAATATACAAAAGCACATAAATTTGGATAGCCTATCAGCATAAAATATTCATAAAATGAGTTTATAGCTGTAGGAAACATCTACAGTGTACCATGTGAGTAACCAAGGAGATGACCAAAAACTTAAATGTTCATACTGTGAGAGAACGAAAAGGATAATATAAGTATAATATTTTCATGCTCCACATCAAGTCATGTTTCTAAAGGACAGGCTTCAACAACTGACGGTCAATGATTAGTTAGACTAAATTTCCCTATAGATAACTTAATACACCAAATTAAGAGTTTAATAAAATAATTAAAAAGCCTCATGAGTTCAGCATAGTAGCATACCTTGTGGAAATTAAATACCAGATCCAGCTCACAAACATTGCTGAAGAAATGATCTAATATCTCTACAAACAAATGGATGCACTCCAAGTATGCAAGCTCATTATCAGTGATATCAACACACATAGAAAAGAAGAGTCCAGCATATCTTCTGTAGATAACCTTGTGTGTCCGGAACTGTAATAAGAATTATAATGGCATTCAGCAATAATAGATATGCCAAGCCATAAAAGTAAATGAAGACGCAACCAAAACATATCTAATTATTTAATATAAACAACATTTTGCAATACACAATAACCTATTTATACCTATGTTATCCTATAACACTATTTATCAGCAGCATGAATGCTTGAGCAATGAGTTTATTATCCTCATTCCACGAATATTTACTATTTCTGTAAAAGACTAGAAGCATAGAATAGTAGCAGAAAAAGGCATGATAAAATGCATATTAGATTGTATGAATCTCTGGCTATTATTAGTTTCAAATATTTGTCCTTGTTGGAAATCAAACTTTGGGAGAAAATATAGGGTGTCTGATTGTGACGAGAGACACCCTAGTTACAAGTTAGGGAATCAACACATGAGAAGGGACTTCCACTGCCACTTAGGGAACATTATCCAACTTGTTTATTCAAACAGTCTTACATAACTTAATAGTAGGTTTTTGTGCTCCAAAATTGTTTAGTAGTTTTAGCATATGCTCCCTCTGATTCCTCTAAATTTTAAAAGTATTAAGCCCTTTCTGGCAAAACCCCTCCCCCATCCTTCCCACCTACTAGTCAATATTCTGAATGTAAGGGCACCTCAGCAAGTTGTTTATTACCGATGAGTACAAGCTTTTCAATGAAGCATCTAACCTTCATTGCCAGCAACCATTTGCTTATCAATGCTATAACACCAAATGGCCTCCTCAAAATTGTCATTGTATATCAAAGAACATGCACATGTTTTGTCAAGTATTCATCAGAAGTCTTAACAATCCAGCATTTCAATGTACAGGATGGTTGTAGTACTAATTCGATTTTTTTCTCCTTTTGTTCAATCTCGCACCACGCTACAAACAATATGTACTCATTAGTAGTTCACTACTGTAATAACATGAAACAATATGCAAGTTCATGTCATGATCATCATACTCTTACCGACCAGTTTGAACTGACATGTGGCCTATGTTGCATGGGTAGGGTACGGATACGGGTACGGGACGCGGCAAATTTATAAAAGGTAGGATACGAGGACACTGCTAAATAAATATTTATATACACATATATTATATATTGGAATTAATAATTTATATGAGAACAAGGATTAGAATTAAATTTCCTATAACAATTTTATGTTTCTTTTATTATGTGGATTATAAATTGGAAAAGTACTAATTTTGGACTAGACATCCACATGACCCCTCAAAATCATAATTTGGAACCTGACCTATGTCCAACAATTTTGAATAAGTGGAAGTTAAGTGTACGATATATGTACAAAAAATATACGACAAGTGTTTTAAAGTAAAACATGTATTGTATAATTGAGTACATGCCCGAATAAACGTACACATATATGCAGGGAGTCTCCAAGGAGTTTGTGTATGGCTACGAGTCAGGTACGACTTCAAATTAGAAGTACCCAGGTAACATAGCATGTGGCTAGAACTATAAGAATGAATGCATAGTTAGAAATCAATGTATTTTCAAGTCATCCAAACTATTGGGAAAAAAGAAATTTCCCCGTTATTTTTAGTTTTTAAGCCACCAAACACTTTTCAAGTCTAACCAAGTATGAAAAGCATCATTAAACCTATAAACCTATATACTCGAATAATTCAGCCTTTAAGCCATTCCTTGAGTCAATTACAAGTTACTTCAACCTAATAGGCTAAGAGCTATACAGTCTGCTCGTATTTAGAAATTTGCTTCACATACTAAAAGAAAAAAAATTCAATTTTGTTCTGTTAACAAACTTGAGTTAGTCAACATAATCAACATACCTCAACAAAATTGGTAAATTTGGGATCCCTGTTGACGACCAACCGATGAACCTACCAAAATCAAAACAAAATATATCGTTTTTGAAGCAAATTAGAGGGGAAAAATAAATTCCTTCAAAAGGAAAAGGGGGATGAGATTTGACCTCGTATTCGACCCTGTGCTTCTCAGATTCCTCGAGCGGGATGTAGTATTTGGCCAGCCGAGTCTTTCCTTGTCTATTTTGAAGCAGAATGAATCGGATCTGCAATCAAATTTTTGATCTTTTAAAGTCAGCGAAAAAAAAGGAATAAAAAGGGGGGAAAGATAACTTTTTTTTTATCTCCAAATGGAAATTGGAATGAAAAGCACCATTCTTGAGGTTGCGAAGGAGGAAGAGATCTAGAGGCGGTCCGCAAGCAATCAAATTACTGTATCGTAGAAAGAAAATGAGATCGCAAAACTTGGGATTCGGCGTTTTTTTGCATTAAAAAAATCAAACTCTGAGGATTGGGGAAATTTTTGCACGGATCTGTGGAACAACTGACCTTGTGAAATGACGAATTTTTTGCACGGATACTCGAAGGCCTTGGTCACCAAGACTAATCTACTGTTTGGTTCAATTTCTATAAATTATGGGAAAATGAAAACACTCAAAATATAGATTTTTTTATATTTTTTAAAAAAATTATAAGAAAAGTTTTGAGAAGTTAAAAAGTACAAATTTTCTTGTTTCTTTCACTTTGTTAGTTTGATTCAAAATAAAAAAAATAGGCTCATTATTTTAGGGGTTGTTTGTTTGCCAAAAAAAGGAATCAAAGAATAAGAAACCTATTTTCTTAAAAAATTATTTTGAGGTTGTTTGGTTAGCTAAGGGGCTGTTTGGTTGGTTTCCTAAAAATCAAAAAAAGGAAATCGGTACTAGAAAATCAATAAAATAATATTTTTATCCATTTCCATCCCTAAAACTCACCCACAACATCTAATAAAATATTATTTTTATCCTCCAACTCATCTCATTTCATCTCCTTTCTTACCTTTAAAAATAAATCAAACACAAGAAATGTGTCACATCATCCAACTCATCACATCTCATCTTATCCCATTTTTAAAAATCACACACATCATCCAATAATATTGTGACAACTCATCTCATCTCATTAAACCTTCCTTTCCATCCATTTCCTAAAAAAAAATAAGAAATTGATTTCCTTAAGTATGTGTCACATCATCCAATAATATACCTCCAACTCATTTCATCTCATCTATTTTCTTATTTTTAAAAATGAACCAAACACAAACAACCTCAAAACATCATCCAATGATATACATCCAATTCATTTCCTTATTTTTTCCAACCCAACCAAACAACCTCAAAACAAGTTTTTTTTAAAAAATCACTCACATCATCCAATAATAAGGTGACAACTCATCTCATATCATCTCATCTCCTATTCTATAATTTCCTTCTTTTTTAACCCAACCAAACAACCTCAAAACAATTATTATAGGAAATAGGTTTCCTATTCTTTAATTTCCAAGTTTTTTTTGCGAAACGAACGGACCCTAAATAAAAGAAAATCAAAGAATAGGAGATGAGATGGGATGAGTTGTCACTATATTATTGGATGATGTAGGTGAGTTTTTAAGAAAATTTGTTTTGTGGTTGTTTGATTGACTAAAAAGGAAGAAAATCAAAGAATATGAAACCTATTTCCTATAATAGGTTATTCTCTTATGTTTGGTTCATTCTTAAAAATAAGAGATAGGATGAGATGAGATTAGTTGTCATTATATTATTGGATGATGTGACCTACACTGAAGGAAATCAATTTTCTTGTTTTTTTGGAGGAAATGGGTGGAGATGAAATGTTAATGAAATGAGATGAGTTGTCACCATATTATTGGATGATGTGAGTGATTTTTAAAGATGAGATGAGATGTAGATGAGATGAGTTGGATGATGTGACACATTTCTTTTGTTTGGTTTATTTTATTGGAGATATGAGATGAGTTGGATGAAAATAATATTTTATTGGATGATGTGGATGAGTTGTTGGATGAAAATAATATTTTATTAGATGTTGTGGGAAGTTTTAGGGATGAAAATGGTGGAAATTGTACTTTTTGAGATTTCCAAGCTCTAAGGGGTTGTTTGGTTCCTTGTTTTTGAGAGAAATGCTCTCTTAAAAGCCTGTCAAAAAGTGACACTTTTGGCACTTTTGAAAAGTTTTCAAAAGAGTCTTTCCCTCAAAAACAGGGAATCAAACAGCCCCTAATTTCCTACTCTTGGTTTTTAGGAAACCAACCAAACAGTCCCTTATAAAAATAGCAAGTTTTCATTTTCTTTTATTTGGTTACATGTTCCAATTTTATAGAAAAATATCAATAACCATATTTATTACTTTACAACGGTTATTTTAACGGCTAGTTTGACATGCTCAAATCTTATAAAATCCTTCTATCCTCAACTATCCATGAACACAAAATTTCCACAGTGAAAAAAACATGAGTAAGAGTGTTAGAGACCATGGTGACTCGTCAAGTTCATCAAATCCAAAGATATGTATTTTGGTTTAAAAAAACTACTAATTCCTAGAAGTATTTTTCCGATGACAAGAGATGGAGTTTTGAATGGGAAAAGGGGTCCGGGTTAGATTTTTTAATAGGTTTTGTCAGATTTCTACTTAATTTCCGCTCTATTTGAGTGGAAATTGGTTTTTGTAAAAATGGGCTCATTTTTGTACTTTTACAGAAAATTTTTCTGTAAAATTATTTTGAACCAAACACAGTTTATAGAAATTGTGAAAAAAAATTATTTATGGAACTGCCACTGTCAGGATATTTCTTAAAAGTTTTCTATAAAACACCCTAACCAAAACACCATAAAAGAAAGAAAATTTAGCCAAAAAAAACCTAAAATTTTCAGTATATATTTTGGGAATCATTTTCCATTAACAAAAGTGAAATAAAGTTAGAAGCCTAGAAGGATTGGAAACTTGAGTCGAATGCGAGATGAATAGTTATCTTGAGATTGGCACTTTATTAATAAGCTAATAAATTTCTTTTACGTATTTGCATCACTACATCCTCATCAAATTATGTGCATATTTTACTGGAAGATGAGGGGTTTTTCCTTTTAGAAACCACTTTAAAATCAATAAATCTCCTAGTCAATTTTTAACTGGAAACCCAAAAATTTCCTTAAAAACTCAAGCTCAAAACAATTTTTATGCTAACATGATCTAAATGTTAACTAAGTGAGCCATGTGTCTTAAATATGAGTTTTTAAGGATATTTTCGGGTTTTCAGTAAAAATTTTGAATGAGAGGCGAATAGTTTATATATTAATTAAAATTCAAATGTCGTTTCTATAGCATGAAACTATTTTATAGGTGATTTCTAGAGGGGGAAAACCCATAAAAGAGATACCAAAAACAAATATCATGTCAAAGTATACAACTATACATCATGCAAAAGTACAAGTTGCACCCAATGACATTTCATAATTGTATTGTAAATTAGGCTTTAGCCTATTTTTTTTTTTTAAATTTGCACCCAAATAGCCCGATGTTTGCCTATATAACCAATAAGTAGTAGCCTATTTGAGCTCATTTGCATTAAATAGCTCATTCCATTTTGGTTTAGCCCATAATTATATGATCAATAATGATATTTTTATTTTTAAGTAAATAGATGCTTTGTGGTCCAAAAAATTTTTTGAACTGACATTGATTCACAAGTATAAATAGCCCCCCCATCCCCCACCCAAAAAAGTAAAGAGCTTTGCACAAATATTCTTGCTAGTAGGGGCCTTATGCCATAATTAGCTAACATAGTAACACCCAAACAATGAATAAGAAATTCCCAGACCTTTGCTGCTTCTGCCTTACTTTATAGCCCATAAACTATCTCACACGCATCTTGTCCACTACTTGTAACTTCAGAGAATGATAAAAGAATAAAGTTGCTAATAAAAAGCTTGAAACTGAGCACAGAGCGCCATATTAATAACAGCGCATCTCTGTTTGCGCCATGTGCATGTACAGAGACCAGCTTCTGAGCAACAACCGACAACAAATCTTCAATCCATGCCAAATCAAAATCAAAAGTTTTATTCATTATGAAGAAATGCCCCCTGCTCTTTTTTTTGGTACCCCCGCCCGAAGTCCCAAACAACCAGAAACAACCTATTGTACCTGAATATGGAAACATTATACTGTAAGGGTCTGTTTAGTTCAATTTCTATAAAAAAGAGGAAAAAGAAAAGTACTCAAAATTTGCTTTCCTTGTATTTCTACAAAATTTGTAGGAAAAATTTATAGAACTCAAAAGAGTACAATATTTCTTGTTTTTTGCTATTTTTTTGTTTGGTGCAAAGTATGAAAAAGTTTCCAACTTTATGGAAAATATGTTGTTTTCTTTTTCTTTGTTTGGTTGGATGTCACTTTATAGAAAACAGCTTACTAACAATGCCCATGAGAAATCACATGGGAAGTGTTGTTGTGCGCGGCGGCCAAATTGTTTTGCTTCGAGGAACCAAACCAAAAGTCGAGATAGAAGGCTAAACAATCCAAGATAACGGCACAAACACAAACAACCAATTTTTACGTGGTTCAGCAAGTTGCCTACGCCCACGGGGTAAGAAGGGGGTGGATTTTTACTAATAGAGAAGAAGAGTACAAACCGAGATTACAAATCACTCAAAATAACCAACTAATCTCACTAACGAATCTCTAATTCTCTCCAAATAAAACACTAACTAATAACTCAAAAAATACCACTTTTTTGTGCTCCAAATATCCCCCAATCAATGCTTAATCAAAACCAATCAAAGCCAAAGAAACTCTAAAAATATGTCTCTATTTATAACAAAACACAATCCTAAACAGATTGGGATTCTAAAAAACGAGTCTGTCACACCCGGGGGTGGCAGACACAACACCCCTAAAAACATGACAGATTCTGTCACACCTGTGTGTGACAGACACCATACCCATGTCAACAGGGACATATTCTGCCACCTGGGTGTGGCAAACACCACACTAGGGTGTGGTGGAGCCTGTCTTGTTTATTTCTATTTTGAGCGGAAATTGATTTCTATAAAATAGGGTACTTTTTCGTACTTTATAGAAAACTTTTTTGTAATTTTTTTGAACCAAACACGGTTTATAGAAATCTCCAGAAAAATTTATTTACAAAACTGCCACTATCAGTCATTTTCTATAAAGTTTTCTATAAAACCACTCAACCAAACAGCCTCTAAGATAATAATGTACTAACAGTAGATGGACAGTAGATGGACAGAGAAGCAAATAGCTACAGGAGAAAGAGATGTTTGATTATTACTTAATCTGACATTAACATTGAAGTCTAAATTGGAATAAAATCTAATACTACAGAAGGCTCTCTTCTGAAGCAACATTAACAGGTCTACCCTTTTTAATATGAAGATGAAAAGGCCTCTGATAAATAAATGGCCAGTGTTTTGAGTGATTGTTACAAATACTAACCCAAAAGGATTCTCCAAAGGCTGAAACTGCAGTATTTTCAAACTAGTGTTATACCCGTGCTAACGGCGCAGAGATTTATTTATTTATTTATTATCACTCATTAATTTGATAAAATGACATCTAAGTATAGCTATCTATTTAGGAAAATCAACAGTAATT